TTGAAGAGATTTTTTTGCAACGTGTAGGTTCGGCGTGATTTTGTAATCTGAGATTTTTGTTGACCCTGAACATAGCTATGCCCTGAAGAAACAAGGTTTGGCGAGTAAACATTACAGATTGCGTAATTCAAAGTTGGCCAAGTGGAGATCTGCTTCTGGTCTCCGACAAAAAAAAAATAACAAAAAACAATAAACCAAGGGTAGAACATGAACCGCGCTTGGCCCATGGCCGCGCGGTTAATAATGCCATTTGCGGCAATATCATGCTGAGGAGACTGCAATTCTTCTCCTTAACTCTTGCCACAAGAGTGACCTTTCCTTTTCTGTTCTTTTGACGACATCTTTGTTCTCAGTAGCTCGCCGTGCAAGATAGGCAAGTGCTTCACCCACTGGGCCATATGGGACTGACTTGTACACACTGAAGCCTTTCTGCCCTACAACATTGAAAAACAAACAAATGAATGTCTGCATAGTTATCAGATTGAGGTTGTTACTGTCAATTAAGTTGGTCATTGTCTATTGCAATCAGGAAAATGGAAACTGTCAGAAAGTTTGATTACCACTATCTAACATGGCAGATGTCACCCCAGTAACACATCCAAGACCTTGTTTAAAGCAGTGACAATCCTTACCTAACAGGAAGGAGACCTGATCACACATTCCATAAAGCTGTCCAAATGAAACCTTTCCAGAATCTTGTGCAATTCCAAGGTCCTTCATTCTGTTAAGAAGGAGTTTGACCATTAAAAACTCCTAATTTATTTGTATGACCTAAACCTTGACAACTCCAGGGTTTGGACCAAAACCTATGTCACATTAATATTTTATTAATAAGAAATGCTAGTACAGTATAACTACAAAGTGGCTTATTCAAAATAATTACTAACTTTTTTGGTAATTTTTTTTGAAAAGAGAAAAACTCTGATCAGTATTGAATGAGCTAAACATAGTTTCTAAAGGTTGTTTCACAAGAGGGGTCATGTGAGATGTCAGGGACACTTAGCAGTGACAGCCATCTACTGTCCCCATTCCACGTCCTGGCTACATTTTCTTGTGGGCATGCATGTGATTGTTTCCTAGCTGCAAGATCTCTATTTGTGTGTACAAACTTGAAGGAAACAGTGTAATATTTGAAAATGATTGGTATATTTCCATACCTTTGCACAGCAAGTTGAACTGATTCTTCATTGTGAGATGCCACCATTACTTCTGCTGGAGTATGACTAACTCTCTGTAGCACAGTTTCCACCACTTGATTGTACATGCTACAGGTATCTTCATAACTGTTATGTATGGGGTCATCATAGCCCATGTCCGCTGCATGATTTCTTTCCTGTGCCATATATGCTCCTCGCACAATCTTCGCACCAAAGTAGAAACCAAGTTTGTCCATCAGTTCTAAATTTGCTTTCACTCTGTCAAGGGTATCCTGCAATAAGAATGAACAGTTGTTAAATTGATTTCAAGGCTGGTTGTTAGCCTTATTTTTAAATTGCATATTAATTTTATTCCTGCATTGTGCAAAAAAAATGTTGCATCTGATAACCCAGGGTAAATAGATTTTGCAGTTGGCTAGTGGTTTCTGTCCTTCACTTGCCCAATGGGGAAATGGAGTTTCCTGGGAAAATGTTTGAGGCAACTCAAATAACAGACTGAAATACCATTTGAAATACAATTTTCTGGGGCTGGTGAGAAAGACTTTTGGGCTTGTTAATCATAGTTAAAGAGCAAGTGCAAAAAGAGGGTTTCTTTGCACCCTGCCTCATAATAATTATATGTGTGAACACCATACCTTCCTGTAGCACTGATAAGTATTGTACACCCAAGGCATGTTTTTGTTGTACTTGTACTGAAGTGCTAACACCAGTTGACCAATTGAAGCCTGGAGGTATGTCTGCTCTGCATCAATCACCAACTGTACATTGCGACTTATGCATGCCTTGAAAAATAATGTTAATAATGGCAAAAATTACCCTTGATAAAAAACATAAATGGCAATATTTTTATGGTCAAAACAGTTTTGCATGTAAATCTAAAAAGTGATTGTTAAGTAGACAGTTAATGAAGTGGTACAGAACGCACGCATGCTTTTTGCGCATTGCACCACTTCTTTGACTGTCTACTGTCTATCTACTCATTTTGAATTTGGAAGTTACGTAAAGGATTATCATGCATATGAGTTAAGTCACATGTACAGTTATCTTGTGTATGAATTGCAGCTCTTTAGGAGTTGTGTTTTGGAGAGTTTTTTGGCCACTTAAATGTGCTTGTCTTGACAAAGATGTTTCTGTTAGAACAGTGATGATTTGATTTGGTTTAAAATTTTCTTACAAAACTATTGACCAGCAAGGGAGTATTTTTGTAATAGATCATACAGTTCTTGTTACAAACTCACCTTAGCAAATGTGTCCAGTCTTTTCAAAACATTTTGAAGATGTTCATTTTGGTTGTCATTTAAAACAGAGAGCTGGAAAAACAAAAGTGTTGAAACTTGATAGGCTAGTTAAGTAACATAATATCTCAACTATTATCTCCAGTGATAATTAAATATTTGGAACAATGAACAATCATTTAAGGCTTGCATACCTTGATTTTCTTATCAAGCCCTCCTGCAAATCTTTCAATACCCAGTTCTGCTGGCAACTCTGAGCTGGTCTCATATGGAGCTAAATGCTCATTCAGTGCATTCTAAACAAAACAGTATAATTTGTAATGATGAAATAAAACAGTATTGTAAAAACAGTATTGTAATGATGAAATTTATTTGCAAATAATTTAGTTTATAAATAATTTTTATTTTAAATAATTTTATTATTATTATTATTATTATTATTATTATTATATGTGACTGATTGTTTGATAAATCATACATTCACATGTAATATTTTCTTTTAATATTTAATTCAATACTTGTCAAATGAAAACAAAGTTAAACATAGTGTTTATGAAAGGGTTAGTATTGTACATTTTAAGTTTCTGTAAAAATATTTACTAGACCAGGGTGGATTTGACAGGGGCCAAAGGGACCATGGTTTCAAAAAAAAAATTGGCCAACCATCTTTAAAGCGAAATGTTTCATTTGTATTTTTTTAGGGGGGGGGGGGGGGGGGTGTTGCTCTCACTCTGCTGCAGTTTCTTTGCCCCTCTCTTTCCGAATTTTATGGATCTGCCCCTGTAGACATTATAAAATACACACCAAGACATATAGTACCAAATTAATTGTATTAGCTGGACTAATCAACTTACAAGTAACAAAGGACTGCAAACTGCTGTCATTTTCATTTGTGAAAAGCCTCCTTGTTCTATAAAACAATATGCAAAACAATAATTTAAGAAGAGCATATTAAATTATTGAACAGACATGTAAATTGTCTAGTCAGCCCAAGTATGGATGATTATTAATTCATTAATTTTGGATATTTTCATATTCACTTTCATTATTCTGTGAATTTAGGATTGCTCTTTCAGAACTTTTTTTCAGCATGAAATTAATGTGATACATTGTAGCATTTGAAAGGGAGTTACATTACAATAATAATGAAACTAAACATGAGTTTACATCAAATTCTGTTGTGTTCATCCATCTCTAATCCACATACCTGTTTTTCCAATACAGTCAAGAATGGCCTTTGCATTTCTATCAAACATTGCCTCCCTGTAAGAAGCATTTGCCACCAACAATATTACATGTAAGCAAAGTAGCTTATGATCTCAAGGTTTCTATCGCGCGACAGTTGGTGAGGGCTGTACCCTTGTCAACTATCACACGGAGAAATTGAGAGTGAATAATCTTTTTATTTTAGTATAAATCTACTAGTTGTTCAAAACTTTATCTAAATCCTGAGCCCTCTAGAGCTGTAAATGTTTTTTCAAGCCTCTCTCCATACCAACACCCCTACCTAAATAATTATGAATATTTTGATTTTACACATTTTTGAGGAAATGTCAGTAATACAGAAATAAGTATTTTAACAGTCAGAGTCTGACATGTACTTTTGCAAGTCCATTATCTGTTTATGATATCAATAACAGTTTTTGAATCTTGAAAAATGTACCCTAAATTTTTCAAGATCATTGTTTGTACTCTGACATACCATAGTCTTTTGCATATATTACCAACCTCGTTTCTTTAAGGTCTATTATTTACGTCTTAATTAAAAGTAAACTATCATCTGGAGGTTTCCAAAATTTTGAAGGTAATTTTGTATGTTGCAAAATATGACTCTCTTCAATATCACTGTTGGTATAGCTCCTATTTCAGTCACCCAAGTCTTACATGAGTTTGTTCTTAGCCAAACTATATTGTAGCCTCACCTGCCTTTAAAGGTTTCATAGTCAGTGGAGAGATCCTCTTCATTAGGCACACACAACATAGTCCCTATCCCACAGTCTCGTAACAATTTGATTGTGTCCTGAATGGCTGGCAGAGTCTCTCCAGCCACAAACTGGCTGTACATAGTTTTACGCAATAAAAATTCGAACAACGTTTTTCCAAGCACCCTTTGGCCAAAGGACATAAGCTAAAATGAAAGAAGAAATAACGTTTATTTTATATAACTGTTACTTAAATCAGTCTTGGGATATCCCCAACTATTTCCATCCCCTTCCCCCTCCCCGCCAAGAAAAAATACTGCCAACCCTGCAAAGTCCATGGCGAAAGATTCAGGTTTTTAAAAAAGAAAAATATAGCTTCTTCCAGTTATAAATTAAGCCCCTTATTTACAAAGGTTGTTTTGAACAATTTCAGATCAGAGTATTTTAACTAGGAGGAAAAGTATTTTTTTTTTTACAACGCGTAGTATTCTGTACGATACTGTAAATCTTTGTACGAAATATTGTTACAGATACATTCATACAGATCAGATTTAACGCGATGAACTTGTCGTTGCCTGTTTACTTGAGAGTCCTGAATGGTAAAGCCGGTTGGTAACTCTATCAGTCATACCGGCAATCACATCAATCCGTACGTACCACCATACTTTTCTTTGCCACAACATCATAGGAGCACAATTTAAGAACGAAAAGAGAACGCAGTATGTCGCTTGTTTTCTTTACAGCAAATATTCTAGTGTTATCATCGAAGAGAACTTGTTCCTCGGCCACTGTATTGTGATCAACGCTTGTCGAAGCCGTCTGAATCACGTCTGTTCGAAACACAACTGCAGAGGTTTGTAAGAAGCGGACGTGTGGTCGAACCAAAGAAAGGTCAAGAAGATGTCGAAGAATTGACATATTTAGGGACTAGCCGGTACCAAGCCGTTTATATTGGGTGACTAATCTGTACCAAGTCGTTTATACAACATCAAACATGACAGTTCTCAGGGAGAGTAACAGTTGTGTGACTAGAAAACCTGTTTTTCTTGCTGCTTATTTGTGGTTTGTTAATTAATCCTCTGCTCAGTTTTTGGCCGCCTTTCAACTTTAAAAGGGTCGGACTGGATTTACGGCATGGCTGTGGGCCAAAATAGGTGTACATCTTTCAGTTCTTTAGCTGAACGCGAAAGGAAAATATCTGAAATTAAGGAATAAAGATCAGGTATCTCGAAGACAAATATTAAAGTAAAACAGACAATAATGCTTGCGTGACATCGTTTTATTATATAATTACCTTATAGGACATTAACAATGCATGTAATTAACGCGAATTTCAAAAGTTCGCCTTAATTTTATGTATCTCACTTTAAATGACGTTAATTGAAAGCATCGTTATTTTAAGACACCTTTATAATCAGCAAAGCAACTTGGCTGGAAGTAAAGGCAACGTTTCTTCATGATATTTGTGTCTGCTATAGTTGAAGATGAAATTTCCGATGAACGTATTCTAAACGTTGACCAAACACCGTCAAAGTTCGTGCCGACGGATAACGATGGCAGAAAAGAGTTCAAAGCATGTATCCAGAAAAGGAAGGGGCGCATTCTAACCCTGGACCCATTCATGCCCTACTTTGTATGGCTACCTTGTGTTTTTATTGCTGGAAATAAAGAGCAAATTTTGTTATTGGACAAATTCGCGTCTTAATTATGCAAACGTACCACTCGGAACTTCGCGTTAATAAAAAGTATGTAAACATAACTTTTCGAAAATTCTCGTTAATTTTATAACGCGCAAATTTTGTTCGCGTTGTTGACATGCTTCGTTATATTCCTTTAATAAGGTAGGTAATAAAATCACGCAACATTATCAGATGAGTTCAGACAGGCGCGAGAGGCGAACGACAAGCTTTCCCAGTGGGGAGAAGGACCAAAAAAGCCTCCCCCGGCTCCCCGCTCCTATTTATTTTTATTTTTTGTGTACGTGTGTGTTCCTTCTCGCCAAAAAAGCTTTTCGTACGCCTCTTACGGCTTGCAAAAGATACGACACGCAGGTCTACCAATGCAAATGCCGCAATGTAGATGGCTGAGTTATCGTACTCCTATATTTTGGAGGAAAATTCAAAAATATTGCGGGATGATTCAATTTCAAAGAATACTAAAGAAAGGATATTGATTGTTGTGTGATCAACTTCAACCCTTTGACTGCCAACGGCGCATATACATGCCCTGAGTGGTCGTGCTTTTTCTACCACTTGTGACGTCATCAATTTAAAGTCCAACTTTTGGCTTATGTGGGTGCGCCAAATTAAAGTGCCTATGAAGTAAAGAATAATTGCCGCTTATTGAAAGGCTTTTCAAAGTAAAGAATGGTGTTTTCCTGTTTGGAATATCCTTTTTCGTTTTAGGAATATTAACGTTTTTTCTAAGGAAAGTGATGACGTCATAGGTGGTTCCACTAAAACAGCATAACACTCAATCGAGAATAACTCTAGAAATATTAAAGCAGTGTTCTTTAAACTTGGCACCAGAAATGTACATCACAAAAGAAACATAATGACACCCGTC